AAATGCAGTGACTACCTTTTTAAGCTATTGCTTATTGGAGATTCTGATGTTGGTAAATCATGTCTTCTCCAGAGGTTTGCTATAAGATCTCAATTTATCTTCAATTGTATCTATTCTTCTTTGAGCATCATGAAACCTTTTATATTCTCCTAGTCTGATCCATAATGCTATACCGTGTTAGGGTCCCTTGTAACATTGTTTTCTTGCTTATGATCTCCCACGTGACAACGTAATTTTCCTCTCAGATATAATTCTGTTTTGGCGTTATTATTTATTTCAATACACGGAATGGGGGTCTCCAAAAGTTGGGGAACGGGAAATAAGCATGGAATTGATACTAAAGTTTATGAACTAATCCACTTTGTCATTTGCATCACCTGCTGTTAAAAAACATCATTGAATGAATCAGCGCGTCTGGTTTCTTATGTTAAGCACTATTCTCTCTTGTTCTATATAACTCATGTTCCTTGTGTTTTGGAGAGAAAACAATGATAGCGCCTTAAGGCATTTAATTAACGCCTCGCTTTGAGGCGTGAGCCTCAGCCGATTTTTTAAACCATGTATGTACTTGTAGCAACAATAATCTTACATTCTTTAATTGCTGTTCTGTATAGTTATGTTGTTATATGTATTGCAATTCTGCATTCTAGACATGACCAATAATCTAACTTAGAAGCAACTATACTTGTGTACTTTTTCGATCATTCATCTTTGTTTTCAGGATGATTCATATCTTGAAAGTTATATTAGTACCATTGGTGTAGACTTCGTAAGTGATCGATTTTATAATGTCTTTTGACCCTTACTACATGTGGAATCAGCCATCCATAATTATATCTCTTGGTTGTTGATGCAGAAAATCCGCACAGTGGAACAAGATGGTAAAAATATTAAACTCCAAATTGTAAGTATTTGTAATATCTCGTAGCATGCTGTGTTTGATGGGGCTAAGATTTTAATAATATCCCAGGATATAAAAACTCCTTTTGCCTGAACGTGGCATCGGTAATTTTTCCAATTGCATATGCATGTATAGGATGTAGAGAATCATAAAATCATGTTTTATCACTCAAGGTATTGAACATGTATTTTACTTCCCGATAGCTTCCATTTACCACCATGGTCATTTACTTGGTCTTATTCCTGTTTTATTTTCTGCTTATGGTGTTCCCTTGCTTCCATAATCCTCTCTGTGTTTCATGCAGTGGGATGCTGCTGGGCAAGAACGTTTTAGAACTATTACTAGTAGCTACTACCGTGGGGCTCATGGCATCATAGTAAGTATGGGTAATTCTCATTCAAGTGTTGTTCTTGTTGACCCCAGAAAATGTTGCCAACAGATGCCGGGCCCACTCGTGCACACGCAAGCTTGATCCAACACGCTGATACCAATCAACGGTCAAGATGGCTCCAAGAAAGGGGCGTGGGAGTGGTTAAAAGGCACGAGACGTTTCCGTTCAAGCCACCGGCAAGAAGATGTAATACGATTGTATAAGAAACCAATCGACAAAGGACGATTTTGTAGTTGAAATATGTTGTAAAAATCACGGTTAAAGCGAGAGAAAAATGGTTGCTCCAAAATGTTCAGTTTGCTCTTTCGTTTTGCATTAGTATTTGGCATTAGCCTCATTGTGTGAAATAGGCTTATTGTGGTGTTACTTCTATCAGGTAGTTTATGATGTGACTGATCAGGAAAGCTTCAATAATGTCAAGCAATGGTTAAATGAAATTGACCGATATGCTAGTGACAATGTTAACAAGCTTCTTGTTGGAAACAAATGTGATCTCACAGCACAGAAAGTTGTGTCCACTGAGAAAGCTAAGGTAAACAATTGATGCACCTTATATATCCAATCCTCGTAAGTCATATCTAATTACTTGGTACATAGACACTCGATAAGCTTAGTCATGTTATTATGTCATTCCTTGACTGATTTAGGCATTTGCGGATGAAATTGGGATTCCTTTCATGGAGACAAGTGCGAAAAATGCAACCAATGTAGAGCAGGCTTTCATGGCTATGGCTGCCTGAATCAAGGACAAGTAGGCATTCTTTGTGTGGATTATAGAATTCTACATTCAGTTTTATAAAATTTTATGTTGAAATCACCTAGGTCTAATTTCTATACAACCTTGTGATGGTTTGTGCGTACAGGATGGCGAGTCAACCTGGCATGAAAAATACCCAACCTCCAACTGTGCAGATCCAAGGACAACCAGTTAACCAAAATTCTGGCTGCTGTTCCACCTGAAGAGATGAACGTTAAATTAACTTGATGCTACAGTTTTTCTCGTGTCATGTAAAATTAGTGTTTTGTGTTAGTGCTTTAAGGTATGGCCTTCTCTACGACAATTACTTGATGTTTCAGCACTTTGTGTATACCTCTGAAGAAAATATTTGTACAAAGTGAGAATACAGGTGAATATCAGTTTGTTCTCACTATTTTTTTGTTGTCCTTTCCACTGCATATATAAGGCGTATGTTTGATAAAGATTTTTCAAGAAGTCCACAAGCTATTAAAGATTGCAAGGTGCGCGGAAATGTAGCTCAGAAGGTGGTTAGCATCCCCGTGGCATATCGTCTTTTAGTTTATTTTTAATCATCTCTCTAAAATATAATGCATATTATGTCTTTGTTTGGTAGTGATTAAAATCTAGATTTTAATATAAGTTAAAGTAATCAATTCATTTCAACCACATATTTTATGGATCATACAACACACATTTCATCAATGCATGCAGTATGTCATTTCTTAAAAGGTCTTGCTAAGTGTATATCGGGTTTGACATCTCGGTGTACAGACCTCCTCACAAGAGAAGGCCCACGATTTTTTTATTGATCATGGACCCTTCTCTTGTGAGGGGATATGTACATCGAGATATCAAACTCGGTGTACAAATAGCGTTTCCCTTTCTTAAAGGAGAAATACATTTGTAACTTCCTAGTTGTTTCTTGGAAATTAGAATAGTATCCCTTTGTTGGCTTTTCAAATTTGACATCTTTGGGCCGGGGAATTTGAAAACATGCTACGTACTCCCTGACTCAATAATCCCAATAAAAGTCTCCAAGAAAATTGCTCCACAAGGTGTCATTTCTCTTTCGTATTGTCCTATTCATTATTTATCGTTGATTTTTATTTATTTATTATTTAAATTGTTTATAAATTCTATATCATAGAATCGGTGTGAAACATAGAAGGAGTTTTTTTCGTTATTTTTATGGCAAATCACAAAATATAAAGAAGGGGGTAGCTCCTTCAAAACCTAAAAACAAGAAGGATGCAACATGAACATTCATGAAGGCCTTTTTAAAGTTCCAGAATTAAATTTTGGTAACTTTTTACGAGGTTTAGAGTATTTTATCGATTTAACATACTCATACTACTTGTCGCTTTTAGCAAAATTATATATTCTTATACGGTTTGCCTTTAACTTCTACATCTTTTTTAGCATGAAGCGTTCTCATATTGTACGTTTGAATACAACGGAATAAAAGATCATTTTCGATTTAAAGTGAAATTTACAATCTTTCACCGAATTCGAGACTGGATGGTAGTTAAATTTGAATTTCGTTACATAATTTAAATTTTAACAAAATACGATTTTTCTAACATATGTAGGCCAGATTGAAGAACAAAATACTAAGCATAATAATATAGCAAAATAGTACAACGAGTTGGTACGCGTCTACGTTGAATAATAAAAGTCGGTGGTTTCGACAAGTCACATGTTCTTGCGTGGAAAATTAATTATACGACAAATTTCTGGTTGGTTCACTTGTCACATACACACGTTCATATGTATGTTTTCAATACCTAAAATTCGACACAAATATAAAGTAAACAATGGTACTCGCTTCTATTAAAGTCAACAACTAAAGTATGACTGTGTGCCAATGTCAAATCTGATTTTTGAGTGAAGAATATGAGACATATTAAAATGTGTAAGGTGAACCGTCCAATTTAAATATTATCCTTAAAACACAATTTTTACTACAAACTAAACTAATTTTTTATTAAATAGAGACGGTAATAAAATTGGTCAGTTGTTTTTTGGTTAACGTATACCTTTTCAATACTGAGTTTTAATTACACTTGTACAAGCGTATAATCTAATCTCATGCCAACTTATAAACTTTCATAATGAAAAATAGAGCCACGAGTAATAAAGTATTATAGAGGCATTGTTAAGTACAAGACTAATTCGATTTAATCAAGTCAACTAAGTACGTCTCACAAAAACTAATTTTTTTTCTTTTAACTTTCGGTTCGATATCGAGTGTCCACTCACCAACCTGTCATATTCCAAACTCTTCAAACCAGATTTGGGTTCATAAGTCTTCCTATTGTGCAACATATGTACATAGACCCTAAAGGTCAACGTTTACATATTCCACATGTTATGGAGAGTCAAGAGCAGATAATGAGAGAGAGACATTTTTACTCTAGAATTTCTTTTTTTGGGATAATCAATCCCATTAAATGGATGCTAAAGCTACAGAGGTTGGATTCCAAAAAGTAGTCTGCGTGGAGAGAGAGAAAAGAGAGGGGGGGGGGGGGGGGGGGGGGGGGGGGGGGGGGGGGGGGGGGGGGGGGGGGGGGGGGGGGGGGGGGGGGGGGG